GCAAAGTTTGAAGCAAGACAACCATCCATCTGAAAAAACACAGACCTCGGTCATTCCCATTTGTTGATAGAAGTCTTTTGCTTTTTTGATCAGCATTGGGCCAGAAATTGGAGCTCTCTCTGAACATTTTAATGCAAACCATTCGTACAATATCTTGTCTAATTATTCCAATTTTGGTTTGTGCAGAGTACAGTGTTGCTTAATTGCTTCACTTGTCTCAGACTTCGTCATGAACTGGAGTAACTCCTCCCTCTGTGCCTTGATGTCATAAATCGTAGATGAGCCGATGTTGAATTCCTGCATCAACCTTTTCCTATTTTCTCTCCTTTCCAGGCACTTAATTATGTCCAATTTCTGTGTAATCATCAAAACAACATGCTTTCACTTCTGTCCCATGCTTGTTGATGGACTATTGGTAGCCACAGTTGCAGGATGGGTGAGATATTCAGCAATATTCAGCAATAAAGTCACAGCAAAAGCACAGGCAACAAGCTCAACGCAATCACAATGTGATCAAAAACACAAGTTCAACATGATCACAACGTGATCACAACGGCGGATGGTGGATGAGACTGTTACAGGTGACACTGTTCGGCAGCGTCCCGAACAGCAAGATGCTGTCTATGACAGATGCCGGTTAATAGAGAATTCCAGATGGTAAAGTGCTGGATAATGCAGCTTTTACTGTATACAGGAATAAGCCATACAAGATAAGGGACTCCACCGTAGTAATTAGTGATTCTACAAAAATTGAGCGCCATGGTGGACAATCATCTGAACAGCAGCTCACAGTGTACCTAAAAGGGCTAATGCCATCCTTGGATGTATATATAAGGAATTATCATGTAGGAGTGAAGGGGTCATATTGCTTCTATTTTGAACCTAAGGAGACTGTTCCTGAACCTAATGATACTATGTACAACTCTGGTTTCCAGCATTCAAGTATGCTAAGTTTGATATGATTCAATGATGAATGTGTTTAAATGATTAGAAAATTTGCCTTATTAAGTGTCAAATAGCTCAATCTTTTTAGCTTATCTCATAGAAGGGTAATGAGTGATTTGACCAATCTGTACATACAATCATGGGAGACAGGAAAAAAGATGACACCAAATCTACTGCAAGATTCAATGGCTGTATGTTAAAACTAGACAGAGTCAAGCGAGAAATGAAGCGCACATTTTCAACAGCAAGGGTACTCAATCACTGAAATAACTTATCAAGAATTGTGGTGGATTCTCTACCACATTTTAAAACCAAAATTGGGTATTGTTTCTAAACTTTAAGTTTTTATTTAAGCTTAGTTACAAGCAGCTATTGTACTTGAATACAAGGAAGTACTATGGCTCGAGTCACAGGTGCTCAATCCACAGCCTGCAAGCCAGGTCCAGCCTGAAAAGCTGCATCATCCAGCTCGCTGGGCTCCCCTTGCATTCAGAAATTTGGCAATGGAGAGGAATGGCAACATTAATTTGTACTCCCCTGCTGTGAAATGTCTAGACCTGTAGGGCGCAGGGCAGGCTGGATAATGTGGCCCTGTGTGCTAAATCAGATGCACCAGGCTGGGGCAGCAAAAGGCAGGATCCCAGCATGCAGAGCTGGGCTACCCCATTAAGGCTGGCCCTCGGGGCTGAAAGGTTGAGTACCACTAAATTGAGCTAATGCAGGGGGTCCAAGCAAATGATTACAATGTTCCTTTCTGGACTAAAAATCTATGAAACCTACACTTTTTCCAAGTTCTGTATGCACTAGCTGCAGGAAGAACAGGTGCATAAGTGTCCATGGTGTTAGAAGAAGATGCAGTACAAACATGCCAAAACAGAAGCTTGCTTGTTATTTTTCCTTAATATAAGCCCCTGAGTATTTTGCCGCACCCTCCATGCACAATAATGCCTTAACTGAAAAAGAGGTGCTGCAAGATACCTATACTGCCAAAAAATAACCCTGGGATGGATAAAAGACGTAAGAAACCTTCTCCATTTCTATAATTCTATGATATACATCACTGTATGTACCTTGGTCAATGTACAACTCTAAGGTCAATTTTCCCTCTCGATGTGTGTATGTATAGAGCCACACTTCTCACCAGACTGGCTTCTGGTCATGCCTGTGCATGCAAGATTACTTCTCCACAGGTTACAGAGTGAAAAATGTGCAAGAATTTCACACCAGGATCAAACAAAGAGTTGTGGCCCAAGAACCCACATTCAGTTTGCAAGGGAAAAAGAAAGGTATTAAGCACTCTATCCCCACTTTCTATGCCAATAAATGGCTTCAAAGTAAAAACTTTCTTGACATTTTTAGGTTCAGAATATGGGGCTTTTGCTATTTTTCCCCACTGGGAGCAAATATATGGAAAGGAAATAGTCAATTTATGATGTATAATTTTATTTACATTTATTTTGTTAAATCAGTCATTCTCTCTCTAAACACAATTAAGTAACATCTACTAGTTCTCACACTAAAATCTGAGCCATAACAACAAATTTCTTATTCGCTGAATGAGGGGGACACAGCTGCATCACAGTTACTACTGTTAACTATTGGCCAATGCCTATTTTTTGCTTTCAGTGGCATCCACTGTGAGTTCCTGTATCAAGTGATTTCATCATTATAAGTTCCATCCAACTGCCTTTATCAGCATTTATTAAAGCCTTTATTGATTACCTTTTTATCTAACTTCTTTCTCCAGTGACAGCAGCTTAAGAAAGTACAGCGCTTGCTGTAAATAAGATAGCATTTCCCAGCAGTCACCCAACTGTAATGTCTGAATTACCTTATCTTCAACAGATTTCTCAGGTAGTGAGGTTTAATATATATCAGCAGATTATCTCTGCTTAGATGTTGTTTAAAGAGCTGCCCACTCAATATGAACTTTAAATAATTTAATTAATTTTCAAGTCCATGAGGGATATTCTCCCTTTGAAAAGTACTCATAATTTTCATCAATGCTGATGAAAGGAAAGTCCAGTCCTTTTCATAGTGCAATCATAAGGAAAAGGAACTTGTAGCAACAAAACAAAGCGAGGGGCAAGAGATAAGGCCACAACAACAGGTAAGGCCTGTCCTGCATGCCATCAAAAGATCATTTATTCCATCTGAAGTATTATTAAAAGCTTTATCTTCAGTGTCTTTAATCAGGCAAAACTTCTTTTGAATTTAGTCACACTCAAAAAAGCTATCTGGCTGTAAATGTAGAGGAACAGGCCTGAAGCTGAATAGCCACTGAACTTGTTCGGGGGTGTTCAAAATTCAAATTGTGGTATGAATTACTGCTTTGTGGCCTGATATAAATAACTATCTGTTAGTAATAAGGAGAGGCACTTGGATCAGAAGTAAATCTGGTTACGCTGATTAAATATAGAAATATATTTAACTTGCAAATTAGACCATAATACTTGCCTCCATGAATCTCCCCTATTCCTCAGTCACCATGCATGCAAAACCACCAAGGGAGAAAGGCTTCCCAACCTGGAGCACGCTCATTTTGCATGATTTGCAAGACTGAGACAACCATAGCAAGCACTCATATATATTATGCCTCTGGTCGAAAAGTGCTCACTATATACACACAAATAATACTTACCTACAGTACGTAGCCAAGAAAGTAAAATGCTTGAAAATCTACAGAAATGGTACTTTTCCATGAGGATTTCACTTTTGCATCAACATAACTGTGCCACACCCTATCGTAAAGCATATTAAAGTGAGCAATAATTATAGGGATAGGGATAGAACAGAAAGATGCTGAGGTGTAGGTAAAAGTATTTTAGGGTGTTTACACTATACACAGGAAATCTAAGTGAATTAACTTTATATGTAGAAATGTTAGAGCCAGCTTTCTCATTTTGCTGTTAATTTCCTGAACAGTTGTAATTCAGTTCCTTGAACACCTTAGGCTTTTTTGGAACTGTAAAAACAAAATCTATATTGTTTCCAACACATTTAAAGGTGAAATTGGAAGTAATTCAAAAGAGCAGGACAAATATTCATATTCCCATCTACTAATTTTGTTTGCAATGCTGCTTCTACATTTCAGAAGCTTACAAGGGCAACAACTGCAGCTTGGTTTTAATTTATTGCTGCCCTTCTAGTGCACTTCCCATTCAATTCTCATGACCTCTCTTTTGGGTACCTATTTTCTATTTCTACCAAATGCCTTATTGCCATAGCAAAGCCCTCCATAATAATGTTGATGCCCTCGAACACTCCGCAAATTACTGATTTTCTGAGGGTCTTGTTACACATTGCACTTTGAGCTACTCAAATGTTGATAGGTGTTAGGACTAGTTTGGGTTTAGAGCAGTCATGTGGTCAAGTCAGCAGGGGCCTTGAGGACTAAAAGTAAAATCCCCCTCCTCTCCCCTCCCATTCCAAGCTTCTCCCTGGCCCCTGCCCCTCGGGGTTCCTCCTACCCCCCAGCCTTCACGGCTCACCTGTGCCCTCCAACTTATTTGTGGCCATTCTCCCAGCCCAGACAGCAGCAGCAGCATCACTGGCCTGACAGGCAGGTTCTCCTTCCCCGCCTGCTCCTCCAGGGCAGTGTCAGCAGCCAAAAGCAAGCTGGGACCAGGGGACACGGGTGAGCAGGGATCTGGGGAATGGCCACCCCAATCTGGGGGGAGGCATAGCCTAGAATGGCTACATCAGTGAGACATGTGCTGGGTAACATAGATCAGAGATAAACCTTATCTGGAGTGGCATAACTAAGCTGCTTAAAGTCCTGAAAACTAGTTTCAGTTGTTAATGTGTGGACAATTCAAGGTAGAGCTCCAGGAGCCGCCTAAAATTATGTGCAACAAGGGCCTGACACACCTCTCCTAAACTCTGAGCTTGGATCAAAATTTCATTTAAATGAATCCAGAATTTTCAAGTTTATCCCCTTAAAAGATTTTTCCCTAAGCATCTAACATTTCCGGACTTTATCTTTTAAAGAAAACAATTACAGTGGAACAAAAAAAGTAGACACAACACACAGTATAACAAGTATTTTCACATACCTTAAAGCCAAAACAAGAAGGGTCACCTTTTGTAGGCACGTTTTCATGAAGGCATATTTTTAGTCTTGCTTCTAGAGCTCTAGATCAATGCTCTGCAAAGTAAGAATACATTACAATTCAAAATTAATTCCATGAAGAAAGCCAACTATACATCATTATGCAATTTGGAAACATGAACGTTTTGCTGTTAAACAGAGAAAGAAGCTGCTCTCCACCAAAACATTTAGGACCAGTTTTTTCCTGCAAAAGATCATCCCATCAAACATAGTCTAACAGAAGAGGCACTAGACTTAACAGGCAGAAGATACCACCTCACTGTGCTGCATCTTCCCTGTTAGTAAAGTAGTTTGAGATCTATAACAATGTATCTGATTCATCATCATTATACAGCTTGTACATCCTACATACTAGTGGTGCTTTGGAATAGTCAGCCCCTGCCCAGAACAGAAATGGGAGCGGGGGAATGGGACTACAAAGCAAGTAGTCTATGCACAGGGGACCTACTTCTCATTAAATGAGCTAGGTATTTTATGACTAATAAATAACATTTGTCCAGAAGAAGTCAGGGCTAGATAAGAAAACAAATGAGGATAAAATTAGCATAAGACAAGTAATAGTTATGTTTGTGTCTATCCAGATGAGTCTCTTGGTTGTGCCTTCTTTACAATGCACATCTCCAGGCTGGGGAGAAGGTGAATGGGTCCTCTTCAGACTTACTGAAAAAATAGCATTGCTTCTGGGGAGAATGGCCCTGTCTGCACAGGCCAACCACAAAGATGAGGCAATAAGGCAGTGAAGTTGCCCTCCAGTGCTGCCTGGTACCACTCAGCAGTCTGTCTCCGGATTGCTTGAGAGTGGCAGCAGAGGGTGCCCTTACAGACCCTTTTTTCCCAGGTATAGAATATGAGGAGCTGGAGCAGATGGGCAGGGCTGTATTTCTTGGCAGAATACTAAGAGCAAAGGAAGTGAAAAAGACATACCCACTATCACTCAATGAAGAGGATGCACATGGGTAATTAGCATTACCTTTTTTCCCTCCCTGAGGCAAATTGTACATGGACTTTTAGGGTCAAGACAGACATTGTTATTCATTAAAATCTGATTTACAAAACTTTCCCCCTAAAAGCAGAACAAGACCCATTTAATGTTTGGAAAACTAGACCCTCTCATTTCTTATCAAGCCATCTATATTTATTTCACTTGTGGGTGGGGTAAATGTAAGAAACTATCAGCCCTTTTGGTGAATTAGACTTCTTATTATTTTTGGGGTGGGAGGGGATGCTCACAAACGCATTTTTTATGTAATCAAGCATATCAGCAGTACAAATCTCGCTCCATTGTACAGCCAGCTCAGCTTTTCTATACATTTCTGATTAAAGGTGTAAATATAGGCAGATATTCAAAAAGCCTAAGCCTGAATGGATTCAATCTTTGCAAGTTAGTGTAACCTGGCTAGGCTAAACCAGTTTGTAATCTCACAGACATCCCCTCTGGACTGAAGAAATTCAGGCTCAGTCTAGAAGCTGGAGTGTGCTACAGTCACCCTTCCTTCCTTTCCAAAGTGCTGAGCTGAGGAGGAGTGGGGCCAGGCAGTGGCAGGACGCTCTGATTAGGGAGCCCCACCCCCATGACAACAGAGCATTCATCAGCTCTGTTATCAGCATTTAACATCCCATCAGAAAACAAAGCCCCTCTCATTAGTTCAAGCTCTTCTTAAACAACTTTTTGCAAGGAAGGGAATGTTCCAAGGAGGGACATTACCTCTTGATTAGCTCCAAAAAGCTCTAAGGACACTGTCCTGTCTGCCTTACACAGACACCTCAGCATTAGGTAGCATACCACATGCTGGCTACTGTCCGTGCTGTGGGAGGGAGGAGAGAGAGATTCCTGCTTGAGCTGCAAGCAACCGGGGGGGCAGGAAAGGGGGGGCAGGAAGTAGCAGGAAGCCAGGCAAACACTCTGTGCCTTCACGTCTCTGCCAGAGCTCCAGCCAGGGAGCAGAGGGGAGGGGCCAGCCCTGCTGTGGAGCACAGAGCCCCACCCAGCCCAGAGAGCATGCCAGGATGCTGGGGAAGTCTGGTTTACCATAAACCAGGAAGGGGTCTGGGACAGACATTGCATAAACCAGTTTGACCCAAATCAGTTAAGTCTGATACTACATTCAACCAGGTTTACTTCAAACCGGTTTCAGCATTTTCAAGCCAGTTTAGGTGCACTAAATGTATGTTCCATTACAGGTTTAAACCAGTTTCCGATCACTTAAACCAGTTTGTGTGTAATGTCTGTCCCTAGCCATAAAGTGCAAAAGGCCATAGTAGACAGGGGCAGCCTCAATGCCCCCTGGTGACCACTCGGCCCCTGCTCTGCCCTTGCTTCTCAGGCCTGCTCCCCTTTACCTCACCTCCCATGTCTTGTTATTACTAGATCCTTGGAAAGGGAGGTTACCCCAGGAAACTTGATCCCGTGCTGCTGTTCAAGTGTCACTACTCAGCACCACAAGGGCTTATTATGTGGCTCGAACTGTCTCTTACACCACTCCCATGCATCACAGATATTACCAATCATGCATTATGTCCCAACCGATAAGTGTCTCTCCCTCGGGGGCATCCCCACACCCCAAGCCCCTATGTTGCATCCCTTATATCCATCATTTGGGCACCTCATGCCACAGGCCTCTGTCTTTTTAACTGCTTTTGCTTCTCAACTACACTGGGGATCCCAGTGCCTCAGGCTCTCCAGCCTGGCAGCCTTTGTTCCCAACCCCTGTGAACCCAGGCTCTAGCCCTACTCCCTGGCCCTCCTCCCTGCTCCCAGGCTGGTTGAGACCATCACCACCCCTTATCTCAGTCACTAAACCACTGGACCATACCTCAGCTGTATTGCTGCCTCCTCTTAATCCCTGGGAGCGCAGTCTCCCTCTGTCTGCTGCTTGCTCAGGAGCTCCTTCCATGCCAGCAGCCAGGGTAGGACTACCTGCCCCAGCTTTGGCCCTAGGCTTATCTCCCTATTAAGCCCTGCTCCTTTTGGGTCAGGTGCTCCCCTACCTGCCAACTCAGCACCTCCAAAGCCTTCCCCCTTCTTAAAGTAACAAGCACCTCTTACAGAGGTATTAAGCAAGCAGTTAATTTTGAGTTCAAACATATGGCTACTCCCTGAACAACTTCACATGTGAAATTTCATACTTGTCCAGTAGCCATTCTCACTGCTTGCAGTCTACTAACCCATCATATTTACATGAAATATAAAAGTAAAGCATAGATTTTCTCATTCTTTAACATGATGCCCAAGGCAAAGTAGCCTCACTGAGTAATGAGAAGGTAACTTGGCACAAATTTAAACAGAATTGTTGCCTATGGTACACAATCTTGGTATTGAGGTACCAAGCACAAACCGATAGAAAGATAACAGGGATAATAATATGCTTTCTGCTGCTACAAAATCATTGGCTGTGTAATATGCATAAAATTGGCGGGGGAGGATCAATAAGTAACTGAGTGTGCCTGTTGCACAGTAGCTTTTTGGTAATTAAGGGGCTGTCTTGGGAAAAAGGGCAGAACCATATCCTTGCAGTACCTGCCATTGAAATTAACATTGGGAATCTATAAAGTCATCAGAACACTCTGATTTAATTTGAAAGGATTTCAAACACCGCCGAGCAAAATAAATAAATAGCACAGGGAAATAACTAGCCTGCAATCTGTGCCTACACAAACCCTAGACTCTCATATCAATTGTACTGATGCAAGGAATGGCTGAGTATTAGTCATATTGGAAGAAAGTCATCTGGTCATGAAAATAATGAGATTGTCTATAGAGTTGCATGAGGTTGTCTTCAAATATCTAAGCAAAACTAGGTTTTAAATGAAGCCAGAAATGTAGGAAAGACTCAGACCACCTCATAGCAGTTAGGTACCCCTTCAATATGTCAGAAGCAAGTTTTATTGTAATATCTTTCATTGGACGGATTTTACAGTTAGGAGAGATGTTAGACAATTATTCAGGGACAACTATTTTTGGTTGACGCCATGATGTTATTGAAATATGTCAAAGGAATTCCCTATCCAGGATTCCCTGTACTACTACGGTATCAGAATCACTGTCTCTTCAGTCTTCTGATTCATTTAAACTCACGGCACCTCTGAAGAAAATGGGCAGAAACTAAGGGCACGTCTACATGTGCTATCAGGCAGCAGAAATAAACTACACAGCTTATTGCTCTGAAGTTTACTGCTCCCAGGAAGCTCCCAGGCACACATCCACACTAAAGCATGCTCATGCCCCAGCCAGCCCCTCCACAGCACACTAAGCCGGGCTGCAGCATCCCCAGCTGGCATGCGGCTTGAGGCATCAGGTTGCCAGCCTGGGGCTGTTCTGACTCAGCTCTAGGTGCTGTGGAGGGGCATGAAGGTGTTTTAGTGTAGAACTAGGCAGGAGGAAGCACCCATGTGCCCTAGCCAGTCGCATCAGTGTCTACACATGCACTGCTGCACATGAAAAAACTCTGCAGCAGGGCAGTACTTGCATTTACAAGTAAACCCTGCTGCAGCATGTATTAGTTTCATGCACAGTAATAGGGAGGTTGGGGGATCCAGGCTGCCTGTTCCACAACAGGAGTGGAGGGAACACAACATGTCATGCCACCTCCAGCCACTCAGAAGCAGGAGAGCCCTGAGCTAGTTTGCCTTCAAGAGAAGGGGACCAAACAGACAAATCCAAAGATTTTAAAAGAAAGAAAGGAAACATCCTAGCTTCAGAGTTAAACTATAGTTTATCTTTCAAAGAACAGGTCCCCTTATGACAAAGTCAATTAAGGTGACAATGAATATCTAAGTGAGAGAAGTTTAAAACAACAAAACAACTGATCTATTTAATTTGAAAAAGGAAGAATTCTCTGACAGGCAAACATGAGGATTTATTGTTTTGTTTTTTTTCTGGTGAAAGTAAGACTTTGAAATGATAACGTCTGTAGTGGAATCTATTAAATTTGTTACTCTTATTGGGCCCAATATACAAGCCATGCTTTTTCTGTGCCATCAGGAGTTTTTTTGCTTGCTAAAACTGAGATAAAAGCTTTATTTTAGAACAATTTATC